AATATTATAAATTAAATTAATTATATATAAATTTATATATATATACAAAAATACATACACATTTAATTTTATAAGCTGCTTTTTTCTCTTAAAATTATCAAATGAGCAGTTCCACATATTGGTGAATTATCCAATCTTTAATGGCTATGTAATTTCCATATGTATGTGTATATAGTTTATAAATGTAATATATCTAGTATCCTAATTTGTCATATTTGAGTGAATTCAAATCTTTTGCTCTAATAATGTTATGACGAGTATCTTTGTGTATATATCTTGGATTAGCTATTGGATTATTTGTTTGGGATAAATGACTACACATAGGATCATTGGGTTTAAAGGAATTAACATTTTTTAGGGCTATTGATACCTATGGACAATTACTTCTAAGGCAGCTTTTTCTGGTAGAGGCTCATTTCAAGAGTGAATGAGGGGGACCATCTTATGTCATCTTTTGCAGCCATGAGCGTTCTTTTACTTGTCATTTGTCAATTTTATACGAAGCAGTACCCAGTACTTTCATTTTGTATGTCTTTGATGACTACTTACATTGAGTTTTTCTACATGATAGGTATATGGGCTTCTTTTATGAACTGGCTTTTCGTCAGTGGCTGATACTGTGAATTTTATTAACCTTAACCCTAATAACCCCTTGGTAAAAGATCTTAACAGCTGACTTTTTAAAAAATGACTCTGAACTGTGTCTGTTTGTAATGTCTTGTGCTTGTAAATACAGCAACCTGGGTGCTGCAAGTGGTTTGGTGGTTTGAACCCACCCAGCGGCTCAGCAGAAGAAAGGCCTGGCAAACTACTTCCATAGAGATTACAGCCCAGAAAACCCTGCGCAGCAGTTTTACTCTGCAACACATGGGCTCACCATGGTGAGGGTCTACTGGGTGGCCGCTAACAACAACAACTTGTCAATGCAAGTTAATTTGGGGTTATGGAGGGTTAGGGTTAGTGATTCCTTCCAAAGCATTCAACTTACTTTTCATTCAAACAATTACTCTCTTTCCTTTCGTATTCCTATTTCATTGGTTTAGATCAAGTGTAAGCAAATTATACTGTTGTAAAAACAAGTTCTGAACAATTAAGAATGAATCTGGGAGCGAATACAATGTGCTTTAGAGAAGCAAATGAAGCAACTAGCTGGGGCAGAAATACCTGGGTATACGAGACAGGGTCCTTCTTGCTGCAACTAAATCCAGAGTTCCTTGCGTCCCAGTGGGTATATTCTACAGGGGAATGGAGAGTGAGGACTAATTCATGCAGCCAGCCTGTTGATGGAGATTGGTTAAGAGTACTCCTGTGTTTCCCATCTGAAGCGCACTTTGACTCCAGGTTCCTCTTCATTTCTTCTTTTCTCTGTTTAACCCTCTGGTTCACCCCTAAACATTCAGAAGGTGATTAATTCACACTCCCTTTTATTTTCCTATCAGCTCTTTGGAACTATCCTCCAGCAAGACTTCTTGGAATTGTTGACAGCCATTTTTAAAGTCTAGTAATGACATGCAGCAAACTCATAAAAGTCTGTTGCATGAATAAGTAAGAGTTTGAATAAATGGATGAGATGCCAAATATGTTAATCATAAAAATCACAACAATTCCTACCCAAAGCCTGATGTTTAGGCTACAACAAGAAACAATTATCCTGTCTTTCTAGAAGATGAATGTATTTCTCAGAGACTCCACCTTGAAACCTTATGGAATGATGACCAAGGAAATTTCCTCCAGGAAGTTGTCATAAAATAATAGCCCTGCCACCATGGTGTTTGGTGGCTGAAAAAGGAAGTAGTTGTCTATATTTTGGGTTGTACCGTTAATAAGTTCACATATTTTTAAAATGAAAATGACTTGGTAATCCAGATATTAGATTATGGACAGGATTAAAAGGAAAAAAAAATAGTGGAAAAACAAGTTAGGTGAAGACAATGAGAAAGAAAATAATTTGGAAGTACTAGGGAATATTTTCTGCCTTATAAATCAGGAACATATTTAAAAAAATACTTCCGTGCTTAATATCTTACCAGTTCTTAAACAGTCACAAATCCGAACACTCCCAGCCTACTTAGATAATCAGGTAAAGTAAACACTTCCGAAGAGCAAATGTGGGTGTAGGAGATGCAGTTTTACATGAAACTGAATGCTACTTTCCAATGAATTTTTTACTTTGTGAAAAATCAACCCTTAGCCGATATTAAGGAATATGTTCCATGCACTCTGAAGATACACGTTTACAGGAAATTTGTTACAAATAATTACATCACAAAGCCTAAATAAAAACTCAGCGGAGAGTTTCCAGCTGCAAAATCACAACAGCAGGTTAAGTGCTACCTTTGCTTATCAGAGCACAATTTATTGGCCTCTGAAATCTTGCCTTCCCCAACAAGCCCACTTGCCACTTCCGTCTGGGTTCCTAGTAATACTCAATGCCCTAATGATCTCGCTAATAAGTGGAGGTATTGGGCATGGACTTCTAAAGCTCGTCGATATACATAGGCTCATCAGCTCACTTAAACTTACATGGCAGGAAAAGCTTTAATAATAAGGAGATGTTTCAACTAGCAAAAAGGATAACCTCAGTACTCTCTTATTGTGCCCCTCCAACTTTAATATGTATGCAAGTCACCCGGGATCTTATGATAAGCCGAACTTTTGTTCAGTAGTTCTGGGGCGGGGCCAGAGATTCCATATTTCCAGCAAACTCCGTGGTGGTGTTTATGTTGCAAGTCCATAGACCACACTTTGGGTAACAAAGCTCTAGGGATGTATCCTTGTCTATTTTCACTGAGTAATAGTGCAGGTTACTTATTCAGTGAACTGGTCCAGGGGCATACCTCTTGCAGAGATGGCTACAATGTATGAGAAGGCTAAAATCTCCTGGGAAGGGGAATACTTGAATGCAAAGTAACACCAGCTGCTGTAATTGACCAACACTGAAATCTCAGTGGCTTAACATACACACATGCATACACACACAAAACCATTGCTGTCAAGTCAATTCCAACTCATGGTGACTCCCATGTATTACAGAGTCGAACTGCTCCATGGGGTTTTCATGGCTATAATCTTTATGGAAGCAGATTGTTATTGTTGTCGTTTTGTGACAACAAGTCAGTTCTGACTCATAGCGACCCCAAGTACAACAGAATGAAACTCTGCCCAGTCCTGTGCCATCCTCAGAATCATTGCTAAGTTTGAGCCCATTGTTGCAGTCACTGTGTCAGTCCATCTCATTGAGGGTCTTCCTCTTTTTCACTGACCCTCTACCAAACATGATGTCCTTCTTCAGGGACTGGAGACTGGTCCCTCCTGACAACATGTCCAAATTACGTGAGATAAAGTCTCACCACCCTGGCTTCTAAGGAGCATTCTGGCTGTACTTCTTCCAAGACAGAACTGTTTGTTCTTTTGGCAGCCCATGGTATGTTCAATATTCTTCGCCAACACTGTAATTCTTTTTCAGTCTTCATTATTCATTCAGCTTTTGAATGCATATGAAGTAATTGAAAATACCCTGGCTTGGGTCAGGCACACCTGAGTCCTCAAAGTGACATCTTTGCTTTTCAACACTTTAAAGAGGTCTTTTGCAGCAGATTTGCCCGATGCAATACGTCCTTTGATTTCTTGACTGCCTCTTCCATGGGTGTTCATTGTGGATCCAAGTAAAATGAAATCTTTGACTACTTCAATCTTTTCCCCATTTATCATGATGTTACTTATTGGTCCAGTTGCGAGGATTTTTGCTTTCTTTTTGTTGAGGTGTAATCCTTACTAAAGGCTGTAGTCTTTGATCTTCATCAATAAGTGCTTCAAGTCTTCTTCGCTTTCAGCAACCAAGGTGGTGTCACCTGCATAGTGAAGGTTGTTAATGAGTCTTCCACCAATCCTGATGCAGCATTCTTCTTTACGTAATCCAGTTTCTTGGATTATTTACTCAACATACAGATTGAATAAGTATGGTCAAAGGATACGACCCTGATGCACACCTTTGGAAGCAGATTGACAGGCCTTTTTTCCAAGGTGCCACTGGAGAGTTCGAACTGCCAACAGGTAGATTAGTAGGCAAGTGCAAACTGTGCCACCCAGGGACGTTGTCTTAACACAATCGGGGTCTATTTCCTTATCATGTAAAATCCAATCAACAGTGGAGAAGTCATTCAGGAGCGTAGGCTCAGCTATTTTCAACATATGTCTTTCAAGTAGTCCTGGAAATTAGCTGGCAGAAGGAAGAAAAGAGCCTGAAGAGGCAGTACCACTAAGCCTAGAAGAGACACACATCACCCTCAAGGATTCCACTGGCAAGAACTAGTCACATGACCTCACCTACATGCAAAGGACACTGGGAAATGTAGTTCCTGACTGACCAGCCACTTCCCAGCAGCCACTCTACACAGTAGAAGGGAAGGCAGCTGGCTGGCCCAGCCCTTGTGATAGTTAGAGAACAGTATTCATTCATTGCATCTTCTATGTAATGCAGCTGTTGTTTCCATAGTGTGACGCTAGGCGTTCCAAAGAGAATAAATCACTTCTAAAATGTCAGCCGTTACGTGGTGAATATATGGTGCAATGGATTTTAATATAGCATAGCATATTGATTGGGGCATAATCCAGTCAGCAGTCATAACTCCATGCAGCAGAGTAACTAAATTACAACTGTTTATAGGAGTCCTTCCCCTGCCAGCTTTCTGACTTTCTGAGCCCTCTCATCATACATCAACCCGAGTTGATTCCAACTCATAGCAATCCTATAGGACAGAGTAGAACTACCCCATAGAGTTTCCAAGGAGCAGCTGGTGGATTTGAAATGTTGACCTTTTGTTAGCAGCTGAACGCTTAACTACTGTGCTACCAGGGTTCCTTGTCATACATAGTGGGAAAAAAAAGAAAGGAAGAAGTTCATTCTTTTTTCCTGCATTCCTAGGCTATATGTTGGTGGGAGGATACAGTTTAACCACTCTTTTCTCCTTTTTGTCTTTGCATATAAAAAACAACACAAGCTGGAGGATACTAAAAGGGGGATTTCCTGATCATCCTAAATTTTGATGAGTCTGGCGAAAGATGCGTTTCTTCTGGATGTGATTCTTCTAGATCAAGCAGTGGAAAGTCTCTGACTTTTACCTTACCCAAGTGGACTCACCCATCTCCATATTATCACCACAAGGTAAAAGTCAAAGGCTTTATTGCCAACAGCAATAAGTGATACCTTTTAATAACTAGATATTGAGTTAAATTCATCTTATTTATTTAGCCCTGATTTTTAAAAATAATCATTATTTTCATAGATTGAATGGATTACCAAAGGGATGTGAGGACATAAAAATAAAATGCTTCTGGGTTCCCTTTTGAGTTCCAGGGTAATACAGGGATGAAATCAGAGAACATGAAGATGTGGAATGGTTGGTGAAGGGTCCATTTACCATTTGCTTACATCTTCAGTTTTCTAACTAACAAAGAGAGCAGACCCTGTCAATGAGCAAGTGGGTAGGAGCAGCGGCAGGTATGGCAGGAAGAATGCCTAGGAAAAGTCCAGCCACCATCCATTACATATCATGGGTCTGGAGAGTGCGTGGCTGGTGAGGGCTTGATAGAACAGACACAACCTTATGAGGCTCAGAGACGAGCCTTGTACTTGTATACAGCCTCCTCTTAACATGCCCCTACCTCCTTTCCATTTATCATTTAACACACAAAAAACACACAAAACAATGAATGTCAAGTGGATACCAACTCATTGGCTCATATTCTCAATGAGCCAATAGAGATAA